TGTTCCTATACCGTCGTACGATGAAGAGTAAAACTGTAGTTGCGAGAACCTATTGTTCATTTATGTGAACCAGCAACATAAACCCCGAAACCCATTCGAACGACGCGAATCGACAGGCCACCATCAATGATAATCACAATGTCATTAGTGCATCACTTGACTTTGATCCCGGACTCTCGGCATTGTGTCCCACCTACAGTTACCACTACTGCTTTTCTCCTTTCGTTCTACTTTTGCTTTCCCGCGGTGAATTTTGGTTCATTTTTGCATCGATCTATCAATAACCTCGTCCCTGTGTTCATTCATAAATTTATGTGCTTATTGCCAATTATACCAAAGCGCGCCTGGCATTGTGCAGTTCTTATTTCAAGCCTGACACATCTTTGAGCTTACTCGTTCACTCCTTGTACTTGAACATTCTACCACGTACCCCCGTTGCAAGTATGTATTCTGTAAAATACTTAAATGAATGAAGTTTTAGTTCACTCCGGAACGTTGAAACCGTGAAGCGGTACTCCGTTCCCTCCCAACCGGACTCAGTACAACGTAGGTTGGTTGACTTCTTTTAACCCTCCGTAATATTCAACTTGCAGTTCTTGATTCGTTCGCCAATGGCTTTTCCATCACTATTGCTCAAATTTTAGCTCCATGGAAATTATTACATCTGCTACGAACCCTTTCGCACTCTAGCACCAGCCAAGGGCCCAGACCACTAACGATTACCAGATGCCTTAGGGGTAAACCCCAGCACACTACTCAGGACAATTATGTTGCGGGATGTCATTCCTTTTGTTTTACCTCTTACTGGGTGCCAACAGATCTCCTAAAGAATCCATCAAAACTTGAATTGTTGAGTTTATTTCCAGCCCCATCAATACGGCGTCTTTGCAGTCGAATTGGTTCCTTTAGCCGTCATTTGCGAATGTAACTCAGACCTTCAAAGCATGCACCGGAAAAAGCCGCCAATAGACCACCTGAGCCAGGGGACCGATCGCGAGACCAATGCGTTGTAAACTGGAACTGTTAACAAAGCAGCAATAAGCCTTAATGTAGGACCCTGATAGAAGCCTGAGAGCATTGATTTCCAAGCAGCTCCACGAGAGAAACTGAGATGAGCCAAAATACAGAAAACATTGGCGGAATGCGTTTTGTTAGGAAATTCTCCCATAGTACTTCAAACAAAATTTTTAAGCGCTCACCTTTACTCCCGGTCGGTGAAGTGATTTTTCGCGGCTTTGAACGGATGTCATATATTATAGGATATTGAAACCATGGAACCCTGCAGAATAAAAGCAAAAAAACTAATGTACCGGAAATGCAGTCCTTCGGGATATATTTCATCTTGAACACCCCCGATTCGACTGAAAATTATTCCGCGGTGCCCACCGTCAACTAAAAGCGCCAGTTACATACTAAACAGATTTTACTTGTGTAAAAGCACTGTGAAAGTCCGATTCCGATCGCCCCCGCTGCGGCCAGCAACCCACCGCCAACGGCACCCAAATTGGCGAACCGTTTTAGTTGATTCATCATGCGAGCGTACACGCGTAACGCTACAATTTAAAAACACGCCACAGTTCAGTTCAGGTCAGTCAGTCAGGCAGTCAGTCAGTTTGCACAGGACAGAAGATGGCCACGGCCAATCGATCGTCCAAATTTCCTCCGGTAGTAAGCCCCGTTCCGGCCCCTACCACTGCGAGTGTTCTATATTGCAGTTCTACACGTTTTCTTCAACTCTCATTTGTCCCAGTCTCTGCAAGGGAAGAGAAAGGGAAAAAATATCTTCTCTCCTTGTTCAGGCGAGAGACCTCACGTTCGGAAGCGTTCCTTGGATGGGGGTGGTTAGTAAATGAAAACCCATCCCTGTTTCCAGGTCTTAACCTATGCGTCTATTTCGGGAAATAAAGTCAACCAGCGCTTATCGAGCTCCTTCTTGAAGCATATACGCTCGCTAGCTCTACCAGCTCCCGTGGCAACTTTTTCCACGAGTTGACTACCCTGTTGCTGAAAAAGTTCGAGCGCACCGTTAGTCTCGTGCGCAATTTCTTCAGCTTGTACATGTGCCCCCTAGTATTGCTTTGCATTCTCTCGAAGAACACCGCTTGCTCCGTCCCTGATAGTCCATTCATAATTTTGAATGTCTCAATCAAGTGGGGCGGTGGTGGCCCGATGGTAACGTCACCAAATGACCACCTCGGGGGACGTGTGTTCGAACCCCACCACCACCGCCTGACTTTCCCATGGTAGCTCTTTGATTGGCCGCTTCCTCCTTCCTGAAAATTGTATCATTGTGTATTCAATAAAAGGAAGTAAAAATGAAAAAGGTCACCTCGGAGTCTTCTTCTTTCTAAGGAGAATAGCCCAAGATCCTGCAGTCTCTGCTTATACGACTTCCCTTGTTGTCCTTCGATCATCCTTGTGGCTAATCTTTGGACCCTTTCGAGACAAGCGGCGTCCTTTTTGAAGAAGGGAGCCCAGGCTTGTATGCAATACTCTAAATGCCGTCAAACAACGGCTTTATACAAGGGTACGAATACCTCCGGTTGCCTACATGATAGTGCCGACCTCAATCTGAAGAGCTCACTGCAGGTACGATGCGCCGCTGCGGCACACTGTTCCGCCCATTTGTAGTCTGTCAGTTCAGTTCAGTTTCCACAGGACGAACATGCCTCTTGCCAATCGAGCGTCCAGTTAGGTGTGTTGTCGGTGAATGGGATTAGCTTCCGACACCGCGTACAGTTGATTTGGTATTTGTGATCCTCTCAATTTAACCCCGTTTCCAGAACGTTTCAAGGTCAGGTTGCTCAGGTCAGGTCAGATCACATACTAGCGGCTGATGCCAAACGAGCGTCCAGTTTCTTGCGCAGTCGTGCTCCAATGTTCTGAATGCGCTTCGACAGCTTTTGAAATTCGCGCCTCACTTAGCGGTATTTTCTTTAGTACGATCCAGTAGGTGTCACTTGAACGTTTATCTGGAAAGAATTGGTACGAGCGTGAAACACGAAAAAGATAGACACGATTCACCTTAGCCTACGCTTGATTACCCTTGCCCGTGATTGCGTGTCACCTTCTTAATACCACCCGACGTACGCGTACCTTCAGCCACCCATACGTTCAAACATATTCAATAACACCTCCATACCTTCCTTGCGTCCAGGCAGTCCTGTTCATATATTAGTGTATACTGGTAACCATCCTTTCTTGTCCCAGAACCAGAACCACAGTACGACGCTGAGTGCTTGGCGAACGTTCTGACTATACTCACGTATGTCATAAACAGAGTACGCGTAGTTCAAGCGAGTCTCGTCAGGTCACTACCTAGGGTTCAAGTCT